TCTGTTATGTTCGCTATGTTCGCTACATCTGTTATGTTCGCTACGTTTGCTATGTTCGTTATGTTTGCTTATGTTCTTTTTTGTAATATAAGTATAAATAAGCAACTCAATGTATTTATTCTGTGCTACTGGGATAGCCTTTATGCTCACGTTACTTTGTTAGCCTTTGTGCTACTGGGCTAGCCTTTGTGCTGCTAGGTTTGTCTTTGTGCTACTTATTCTCGCTGAGCAGTGACTCTCACTCGTTCTTTGGCTCAGTGGGTGTGTGCTCATGAACGTCATTTACAACAGCAGCAATAGTTGTGCTATATGCAACAAATGGAATAAAACTTGCATTGTCTGTATTATAACAGGCTTGTCTGATAAATGTCAACTTTGAATCATTGAAAGTTAAATTTCTGTCCTTTCTCTGTGTGTTTGCAGGTTTATCTGATGTGCCGTGAGCGTTGGGAGCACCTTGCCCCAGCTCCGGCCTGCAGCCCTGGTGCTACCCAGCCTGGCTCACCAGGATGGACCCTGCTCATTCCTTCAGGATGGAGCTGGACGGACTGGACCTCCAGCAGGTCCCAGTGCTGTCGCTCGACCAGATACGTGCCATCCGGGCCAACAATGACTATGTGGAGAGGCCCGTGGCGCTGGAACCGGCATCCCAGTCCGGGTTTTTCTATGCCCATGACGACCGAGTATACCCCCACTACCCACAGCCTTCTTTCCACTCGGCCCTGCCCCGCAGCCAAAGTCAGCAGCAGCACGCTCACCTGTCCCACCTGAGCCGTTCCAGTACCATAAGCTCTTCCATGTCTCGGACCAGTGCCACCTCAGACCAGCGGCTACTGGCGGGTTTGACACCATCTCATTCTGGCCTCGGTTCGGTGGTCCGTTCTCAGCCTAAAGGAGAACTCAAGCCTGACGCTTCCTTTGGCAAAGGCCTGACGGAGGACGAGGCTGAGCAGGGCCTTCATTTGTTCATCTGCGAGCGGTGTGGTCGCTGTAAGTGCCAAGAGTGCTGCGCCCCCCGCCGCCTGCCTTCCTGTTGGGCCTGCGGACAGCGCTGTCTGTGCTCTGCCGAAAGCGCCGTGGAGTACGGCACTTGCTTGTGCTGCGTTAAAGGCCTGTTCTACCACTGCTCCGCCCAGGATGACGAGGATAACTGTGCTGACCGGCCGTGCTCCTGCGGTCCGGCCCACGCCTGTGCCCGCTGGGGCACCATGGGGCTGCTGGCGCTCTGCCTGCCCTGCCTCTGCTGCTACCCCCTTGCCAGGCTGTGCCTTGCCCTGTGCCAGTGTGCCCACGACCGCACCACGCGCCCCGGCTGCAGGTGCAGCAACACCAACACCGTGTGCCGCAAGATCTCCGCCTCCAACCCTAACCCTGGTCACCCCTCGCTCCGCAGCAAGGCCCTGGAGAAGCCCTTATGACAGGCCTGGATGGGGGCCAGGTGAATCCAATTCCCTCTCAGCCGTCGCCAAAGCAATGCTGTCGCCAATCAACCGTGTCACAGCTGACATTGTGACGACAATGCCAATGTGTCCCACCCACCTACATACGACAAGCCAACCAACCAATCGTGAAGTGTTGTTCACCTAATGTACCTTGAATTTACTTCATCTCCAGCTCAGGAGGGACCAAAGCTTTACTGTGCCTGTTCATGTCGGAGACTTCATGCCTAAAAACACTCACGCTGAAGAAGAAGAAGCTGTCGTGCTTTTGCTGGACTGCCCTTCAACCTTAACCAAGACATCCAGACGGAAATCACCTCTCTCTGCATTCTGTGGTGTAGTCTGGACAAGTTAAAATCTATTTATTTATTATTGAACCTCCTTCCTCCCCACCCTCTGCAGAGAGAACGCACAGACGGGCGATGGACCAAATCAGGAAGGAAAGACGCCCGTGGCTATGTGAAATGGTCTACGCCAACACAGTTTCTCTCCTCTACAAGAGGAGAGAATCAGAAGATGCATGAGAGATCGAGGACCACGATGACATTCAGAAAACTCCACAAAAGGTTCACGATTAATGAATGAAGAAAAAAACAAAAACGTCATGCCGCGGTGCATATCTGACTGGGAGTCTTTTAACAAAAGCACCAAGGCATAAAGCGAGAACAAAGACACATCTGTAACAGTTTGACACCAAAAAGGGACCATGCACTGTACGAACTGAGTGAATTTCAATGCTATTAAGCTCATTTGTAAAGGAAAAGCACTGTGAGGTAGATGGACGATGTTTACCCCAGCAGCCAAGAGCTGAATGGGGGATTATTTAACCGGAGGGAGGGTGCATCCATTGTCACTAGGCAGCGTGTGTGTGGTGTGTGTGTGTGTGTGAGAGAGTGTGTGTGTATCCTCCTACTGTACAACAACCTGTGTATGTAGAAGCTGTGTGTATGTTGTTTTCTCAGCAGAAGAAGCCTCCCTTGTCTTATTTTTAGCAGCGCTGCTTCAGTGGAGCTCTGAGGGTCTGGTCGGGTTTCCTCCCGAAGTCAGTCTGCCGCCAAACCTCCCTCCTTCTCTGCCCCCCCCCCACTCCCCCACGCTTCTCTCCTCCTCCCATCCTCGAATCAAACGATTTATTCTTCTGGACCATCTCATTCTCATCCAGTCACTACCTTGAACAGCAGCTTTAGCAGCACAACACCAAAAAAAAGATTATGGTCATGCCAGTCACTGTCTTTTAAATTCAATGTAATTCGTTGAGCTTGGTTGTATTATAAGCCGGCTGCCATAACTCTTTAATGTCTGAAGTAGTGAGGATGTTAATATTTAACCGTTAACCAACAATAACAATTTGGTCCGATGACTGCGATCACTTGAAACAGTTAAAAAATGTAAACGTTTAAAAACAAAAGTTGAACAAAACTCGTAATAAAAAGCTTTTCACTAAAATGAAAACAGCTAGTCCACCTTAAAAGGTCAGTCCACCTTAAGCAACCTTGAGCCGTAGTTGTTGGCTAACCCCCGTATCTGTAATCAACACGTGGGAACAAGACACAGGAACTTGGCCTGGGTCTTGAGGAGCTGTAGCATTTATTTTCAACAAATTAATTGTAAACATTTTAGTTGCAGCTGGGCCTCGAAAACACTGAGGAGCATCCCCTGCTTTATGGTCTGTTTGACTCTAAATGGACCATAATGTACTAAATGAACATCATGCTGTATTGAAGAAGACTTGAAACTAGAGATTGAGACCATAAACTCATGTTTACAATGTTTACTGAGGTAATAAATCAAGAGAGAAGTAGAGTCATTTTCTCATAGACTTCTATACAACCAGAGGAGTCGCCCCCTGGTGGACATTAGAGAGAATGCAGCTTTAATGCATGAAGCTTTGACTTCACTCAGCAGAACTGGAGGTTGCCGCCTGGTAGCGATGCGTGTCGGTGTGTTTAGCCCCTTAGGCACTTTAACCACAGTACGTCTAAGCCACTAAGACCTAATACAAATCGGTAGCTGCTCTTGGTAATGTGCAAAAGTTAGAAAAAATGAGCTTTTAAAAAGAAACAAAGAAATACAATTACAACCAAGCCAGCTGACAACACACCCATATATCCCTCCTGCCTTCGTCTGTCTCTCCTCTCACGCTCAGAGGGCTAAAAGCCTCCAGTTCCTGGTCCATAGAGAGCTGATCAAACAGGCAATTAGCTTCATGATAGCTCTTAATGGGCCGGAGAAGAATGGAGGGAGGGGAGGGAGCGGATGATGGAGTTGTGGTGTTTGGCAGATGGACAGCTGATGGGGAGAGAGAGAGGGATGCTGGGAGGAAAGAGGTTGGCTGGAGGGGAAAGAAAAGAGGATATGAGAGGATGTTGGTGTCGCCATTAAGTAAGATGGAGACCATTCATGGAAGAAAAATAAAAATAGTTTGCACTTCAAGTTCAAATTTAGCGTCAAACGTAACTACAGCAGTTGACGGCTCGTCAAGGAAGGAAACGCTGATGGAAAACAACACACACACAGCGCCAGCTGTATGCGTGTGTGTATGCGTGTTTATAAGCGTGTGTATTTGTCACATGCACACAAATGTTACTTTGCTATATTTTTATATGTAAATATGGGCTATTAACTGCATAACTATTTTTATTCTGCTTTATTTTGTTTCTATGAGATTGATTACGTCTGTTTTCCATTACAGTGAACATTAACTTATTTCCTGTCCACTTGTGATCAACTCAGGAACGTTTGGGGCAACTCTGACTGTCGACGTTGTGTTAGCGCAGTATTATGGTCGACTTTCAACAATTGAGCATCAAGTAACAGCAGCTGAGCTCGGCTCTTTCTTCAGGAAACATTTATTCTCAGATGTGTAACATCGGTCACAATAAAGCAACATAAAGAGTTGTTTTTTAATTCAGACATTTTGGGTTTATTTTTCATCATAAAATAGAAAGTAAAACAATAAGCATGGCTGTTTTAATGTGTCAGGATGTGTGAATGTTGCCCCAAATGTTCCTGTGCTCACTGGTTTCACTTTGATCGACAGGTTGGACTGTGGAGGACACACTCAATCATGATATGGCTGTTTCTTTAATGTTGCAACTTTCTTCACTTTTAGCGTTACTTATGACTTTATTATTCGTATTATTTGAAGTATTGTCAACCACACCTCGGTTGACATTATGTCCACATTGACGCAGATGAATTTGAGAACAATTGTTTCCACTACATGTTCATGAAGTAAGCCTTTTCAACCACCCAAAGCAGAAAAATCCTGAGCTTCTCGGAAAAGCTTTAAAATAATGCGCTGGCACATTCTGTCCTGCATGCACGCTCTGTGAATGAACACACACCGCTGATATTAGAGGAAACAACACGTTTATATTGTTGTGGTGATCGAAAACAATAACGTGAACTGGAAACTTTGTTTTCATATGCAACTGCATTACTGTGGACATAGGTTACACACACACACACACACACACACACACACACACACACACACACTGTCTCCGCATTGGCTGGATGTCAGACATGGTGCTTGGGGAGATGACTTGAGGAACATTTATTTGTACCCGGATTGTTTTGAGTCTAAGCTGGTTGACGTTACAGAGGAAACTGTTGAATATGTTTTAACCGATAATGTATCATCCGTATTCAGAGTACTCAAGTATTTACAGTGACAGTGGTCCAATCATAACCTCTTTAGTATGCAATGTCTCGTATGTACTACAGATACACAAAGAGCAGCACAAGCAGAGGATTGTGGGGCACGAGGTAAATTAACTTCCAATCATGAATGGATTACTGAACAAGCCTACCAGACACAGGCCCACGTTTCAGGGGCCAGCCTGGCCTCTCAGATACGCTCAGATACGTACTAACCAGGAAGAGACTCAAAGTGACCACAAAGAAACTAAAAGAGACCAAAAACAACTTCAAATATATGCAAAACACAAAGCGATTCACAACTACTATTTTAAGGGGCAAAACAACCACAAAGAGACACAAAACAACTACAAAGAGACACAAAACAACAACACAGAGACACAAAACAACCACAAAGAGACACAAAACAACTACAAAGAGACACAAAACAACAACAAAGAGACACAAAACAACCACAAAGAGACACAAAACAACTACAAARAGACACAAAACAACAACAAAGAGACACAAAGCAACCACAAAGAGACACAAAACAACTACAAAAAGACACAAAACAACAACAAAGACACAAAACAACCACAAAGAGACGCAAAACAACTACAAAGAGACACAAAACAACAACAAAGAGACACAAAACAACCACAAAAAGACACAAAACAACAACAAAGACACAAAACAACAACAAAGAGACTTAAAATGATGACAAAGAGACACACAACCTTTCGCATGTCTCAGGGGCTCATTGTCTCATAATCCGTCCAGGTTTCCAAACATTCTCATTTTTATGTTTTCGTCGTCTTAAAACGGCTTCATACTGCATCTATCCCATGTCAGTCTCTTCGATATTTTGTTTACTAAAGTGATGTCATAACGTGCATGTAGATGCATTCTTATTTACGGAAAAAAACTATTTTTTTATATTTGAAGAATGTGAAACATTGAGGGGTGCTGTTGAGGGAGCCAGTTCCATAGATACAGGATGAAGCTGCATGTGGCATCAATACATTGAAGGAATGCATTGAGTAATAATACTTTGTTGAGTTGTTTTGATCACTTGGTGCAGTCAAACTCTTTCTAGTCATTAGTGTTGTGCTGCTTCAACACCTTCACTTCTGCTGACTCTGCCGTGTGTATCTGTACGTACAACTCAAGCGTTCATATATACAGTATGTATATTTTAATCCCCAGATTTCCCAAAGACTTCCAAACGTTCCCGACACTCCTCCCTGAGAGGCGGAGCTCATGTCTGATGCTGTACGTACGCAGGCTGCCTCTATAACCACTCAACTTCTCCTCTCGTGTCTTAGCAAGCATCGCTTTTGGTACAAATTGGCATCTTGTATGTTGTAAAAGAATTTAAGGAGAGTATATGGAACAAATATATATAGAAATCTATCTAAAATGAATATATTATATATGGAACAATATGCATTTCACACTTTTCTGTTTCATTGCTGACATTGCTTCATGGGTATTTATTTCAATTTCAACAATAGCGCTAACAATAACCCCGAGGATGGTGTTGATGAGTGAAGTATTTATTTTACAGGTCAGAGGAGATGAAAGAGCACCGGTGTTGTTGTTTGTCTTTTGATTTGGTTTGTTTGTTCCTCTCGTGTGGCGTGGCTGCTGCTACCCTCCTGGCTAAAGATGAACCAATAAAAAGGAGTTTCCAAACAGAGAAAACGTGTTCGTGCACTGATTCAATTCTTCCATTTCATCACTAAAGTGAGAATATTCACATCAAGTCAAAGCAGTATTCTGTGTTGTTGGACGTAGAAAGTATAAAACATGTGAAGGTTGAGTTATTATCGGGATCTTCCAACCAGTTTCATTTCTTTCTCACCGCTCAGTGCGCGTCTGCTGCCTGGAGAGTAGCTGTAAGTTTATTTCAGTTATGAAGTGGGGACAGTTGGGATGTTGCCGGCTGTGCCCTCAGTGCATTCTGGGTGATACTTCAGGAGTGATGGCGACCACGTCAAACTTCATCAACCTCTGTGGTAATGTGTTAACACCCCGTTCTCCTAACTCAATGGATCCTCATACAAATCTTACGAAAGGTAACTCTTCACGTTTTGGGGTTAAATAACAACAGAAGTGCCGTTATTGAAGTATACGGGGAGCCCTGTGCGGGCTTTTGCGGTATTCATACTTCCTTGTTTATATATTACTTGGATAACATACGAACATTTCGTCACATATATAGTACTGCTATGAATTCTGGATGAGACCAGCCTACCAAACGTGTCAAATACACTTTAGCGTCTGTATGAGATGCACCGGCCTTTCAACTAACTCCACTGTGAACACATCCACGTCATTATTAGACCGTCAGAGCATCTGGCGTAGAATAAAGAGTGAGGATGGGGAGGAGGTCGGGGTGGATGTAATCGGGTACTATGATCTGTGTACATAAAGGTCAAAGGTGAACAATGTCCAAGCAGCCTGGACACCTGGAATAACCCGACTTTGATCAGACTAATACAGGTAAAACACGTCCCATCATCTACAATAAATCAGCAGACATTTTCTGAATTTTCTCTGGATATAACTCACTCATTTGTTTTTTTTGCTGACATTGTAAGAAAAGATAAAATGAAGTGCGGTGAGATCTGTGAAGTCAAACAACAGTTTTTATAAATGAGGCCCCCCGGTACTCCACTCCCCTCACTCTGCTCTGCTGGGCCCATAAATAAGTAATCAAGGCT